CAAAAAACACCTTACGTTTTGTCTTGAGAAGAGCGGGGCTGGTAGCTGCTGGTGAGCCTGTGTTGCCTGTGGGAGCTGGCGACTCAGCAGGCTCTGCTGGAGCAGCAAGAGGTGTGTACCTGTTGCTAAGTTCCGGCGAGGAAGGGGCCTTTATGCGGCAGACCTTAGGGCCCTTGACCACTTTGGTTCATGCCCCTGACTGGACAGACTGGACAGAGTGGGAGGTCCCGGAGTCCTCCTTTGTCCTGGAGGAAGACGGTTGTCTACCCTCCAGGTCATGGGGAGAAGGGCCTGGCAGTAGGAGTCAATCTCCTGCTCACAGTCCCTGATGATACCCAGTCTCTGGAATGTGGCCTGGATCTCCTCCAGCTGGTGCGCCAGAGACCCCAAAAGGGAGCAGACCCCACATGGGGAGGTGGCCATGCTCCTGGGTGCCAGATCCTGAAAAAGGGACAGGCAGCCCCCACAGCCAAGAGCCAGGGGCTCTGTCTGCATGAAGCCTGGAACCATGGGCTCCATCTGGTTGGCGATCTCTGAGGTGCCCGGGGGAGGGTCTCCTCCTCCCCTACAGCCTCAGGCCTGGTCCACCATTTTACATGACAACAGGTAAAATAATGGCTCTCCCCAAGACAAAATGCAAAGTCCTTGTCATGGGAGACTCCATCCTGACGGGGACTATGTGGGGAATCTGCCACCCCAACCCCTTAGCCCAGGAAGTCTGCTGCTTCCCAGGAGCCCATATCCGAGACATTGCAGAGAAGATCCCTGGGCTCCTTTGGCCCACTGACTACTACCATATGCTCCTTATCCATGTGGGCACCAATGACATGCCTCGGAGCAATCCCAACTGGGTCATGAGGTGCTACAGGGATTTAGGAGCAGGGATTAAGGGGTTGGGGCACAGGTGGTGTTCTTTTTGATCCTCTTAGTCTTGGGCTATGGGCTGTGATGGGAAAGGAGGATCAAGGTAGTGAACTAAAGACTGCGGCTCTGGTGTCATTGGGAAGGCTTCAGCTTCCATGACCACAGTCCGCTCTTTGGTGAGAGAGGCAGTGAGATGCTAGGAAGAGATGGTCTCCACCTCTCTCTGCTGGGGAGGAGACTATTCTCAGCCAGACTGGCAGACCTGCTCCACCGGGCTTTAAACTAAGCCCACTGGGGGATGGGGGCACTACCGCCACTGCTGGCCCACTGAAAAACCATTGGAAAGCTAGCAGGCCAAGGCACTCTAGGGAGTCCACCCCTGCCCCAGCCCTGGAATGTTCTGTGGGCAAGGCAGGGGCCCCCAAGGGGACACTTGCCTGCCTGTACATGAATGCCAGGAGCTTGGGGAATAAACAGGAGGAACTTGTCCTCCTGATAAACACAAATAAATATGATGTCATAGGGATAATGGAGACCTGGTGGGACTCCACCTATGACTGGACCAGAGGAATAGATGACAAGACCACAAGATGAAAATGAGCCTGCAGTGTGATGCTGCAGCTAGTAAAGCAAGCAAAACGCTGGCTTGCATCTATGGTTGCTTCTTGAGCATATCCCAGGATGACATTCTCCCATTGTACTTGGCCCTGGTGAGGCAGCTAAAGTACTGCATCCAGTTTTGGGCTCCACAATTCAAAAAGGACATGTAGAAGCTTGAGAGATTCCAGAGAAGAGCCACGCACATGATCAGAGGTCAGGAAAACAGACCTTATAATGAGAGGCTGAGAACTATGAGACTTTTCAGCCTGGAAAAGGGCAGGCTCAGGGGTGATCTGGTGGCCACCTATAAGTTTATCAGGGGTGCTCATCAGGATATGGAGGAATGTACCAGAGCAGCCCAAGGGATGACAAGATCAAATGGTCACAAACCCATCCGTGACTGTTTCAAGCTGGACATAAGGAAGAACTGTCTGAGCCCCCAAAGTTTGGAATAGACTGCCGCCAGAGGTAGCTCAAGCACCTACATTGAATGCCTTCAAGAGACATTTGGTTCCTTATCTTGCTGGCTTCCTATGACCCCTGCTGACTTCCTGCCCTTTGGGCAGGGGGCTGGACTCAATGATATTCTGAGGACCCTTCCAGCCCTAATGTCTATGAGATCTATGTTGAGCCACCTAAGTTCATATCCTATGAACTTAGCTGACTCAACAACAGTAGCATCAGCATCAAAGGTACCCAAATGGAACTGTCACAGAGCCTTTCTTTTTATGAAGGAACTGACAGCAAGAAGTAAAGGTGTTGTGTTGCATTGAATACAGGATGTTACTCATGGTGTGTGATGCCTTATCTCTGTTTTTATGTTTATATGTTTATTATAAAAAAAAGGAGTACTTAAAAATATATCTTAGGAAGCTTTAGGGTTGAAAAACCTTTTGTCAGACTGAGGAAGTACCTGCAGTTGATCCTGGATGGAAAGAATATTAAAGAATCCAGAGGCTGGCCTCACACACAATGCAGGCAAGAAAGCCAATCAGTAACAATGCAGATGGAGGCATCAGGGGGTGATGGACAGGTTGGGGTGGGGGATGGGAAGAAAAGTGGGATGTAGCAGCGCAGGTAAAAGTGCAGAGGTTCCTGGGGACAAGAGAGAGGCAGTGAGATGCATTTACAGGGCTGCCGCGCTACCAGCAGTCCCACCAAGCCTCCCTACCCTGGCAGGGTGCAGTTTTAGTGATCATGCTCAGGACCTGGGGCCTCCTCCTTCCCCATAGCCCCAGTACTATACCTCCAAGCTCATCCTGGCAGGGGAATGAGATCAGCAGGGACATGTTCTTCCCCTGCTGGCTGGTAATACAGTTACTGCCCCCTCCAGCTGAGAGTGGGGTATTACTTTGTAGCAGAAGGCCCCCTTTTCTTCTTGCCTGCATTTGCTTTCCCCTCTTTGGATATGTTTCTCCTCTTATACCGGTTCTTCCTTCCTCTTTCACTATAAGAATTGTGTTTTAAAGTTCGCATGTGTGTATTTTGTATCTCCCCTTGTATTTTGGCATTTTTATCTATTTGTGTGCCATGGCATTACTCTTGTAGCTTATATTTTATACTCTTCACCTTTTAACTAAATGTATTTTAGTTTTAGAGGTAAGTTATACACTGTAACAAAGTTAACAAGGGCGGGGATCAAACCGCTGCTTCCCTGTATCAGGTGGGCCCCTGAAAGAGAAAGTGAATCAGTGATTGAATGCATAATGCAGTAGCAGGCTTCAGTAACAAGTGGCAATTAACACCTATGGAAACCGCAGATAAACCAATGGAAGAAATCAATAGGAGACAATGAAGCAACTCGGAATTCTCTAAACTTCACTAGAAGCCCGGGTCTGAGTTAATCAACGCCGGGGACCAACTTTTGGGGCTGAATATCCCCAGATCGACCACTCCCAGAGCCCTATTCATGACAGCAGTAAATTAATCAAAATTCATCAACGGACTCCCAACCCTGCATGTACATGCAGACGACCTCTGGGGCTGACAGATGCCATCCAGTACCCACCGACAGGGAAGTCCCATGAGGGTCAACGACCCCTGGATTGGGCAAACCTGAAAACTGGGGAGTCACCAAAGTCTGCCAAGGACAGATAAAAAGCAGTGAAAAGTGACCCTCGGGTGTGCCCTCTTGATTTGCAACTTGACCGGCACCCGACCTGTCCAGCCAGAAGGACCAGCCGGCGACCCCCTTCTGGAGGATAACACCACTCTGGAAGAAGCCTTGACTGGCCATTGACAGCAGACTCCAGTGCTTGTGGGATAGGTATACCTGACTCTGGTGCCCCCCCCC